GCCCCCTAGTCCAGCTCACTGCCTTGACAGGTGGAGCTGCGGGAGCTGGCCCAGGAGCAGCAGCAGAAGGAGCTGGCGGAGGCCGTGAAGAAGGAGGACAGCACCCCCAGCCTGGGCTTCACCGGCCCCCGGGGCGCCAGCTCCGGCCTCTCCCTGGGGACCCCCAAGAAGCCGGACGAGGTGCCGGGGTCCATCCTGAGCCAGAGGACGAGCAGAGGCCGTGGGACGAGCTCCATGAGCCGCGTCACGTTCGGCGTCCCTGACCCCAGCCTCGGCCAGCTGTCCAGCAGTGCCTCCTTTAGGGAACGCAGCTCCAGCACAGCGCCAGGGACCCTGGTCAGCACCAGCGCCAGCGGGGCCCCGGGCTCCAGCCGGGCCTCAAGCCGGGGCCGCGTAACCTTTAGACCGGTCAGCTCCAGCAGCTACCTGGGCTCCACTGGCTACGTGCAGTCCAGCAGAGGCCAGGAGAGCTCGGGGAGCAGAGGCTTCAGTTCGGGCAAGGGCCAAGCGTCCAGCACCGGCCGTGCCTCCAGCACCGGCCCCAGCTCCTCCGCCAGCAGAGACCCCCGGTGCTACTACTAGGGCGCCCGGCCCGGCCCTGCCCCTGGCTCTTCGCAGGGTCTTCTCTGCCTGTCTGCTTGCCTGGGGCCCTGCCTCTCCGTCTGTCCCCAGCTGTCTCCTGCGCGTCTCTGGTCCTCTCCAGTTTCATTGCTTTCTGCCTCCCAATCCCCCAGGCTCAGTCTCCGGTCCCTTGTGTGTCTTGTCCCCGTCTCTGCCCCCGTTGATCCCCTGCCTCCTGCTCTGCTCCCCCGTTTCCAGCGCTTTCTTCTTTGTCTCCCAGCCTCTCCTGGAGTCTTGGGTCTGTCGCTGAAGTCCCTCCTTCCCCACCCTCCCCAGGAGCCCCCCAGGACCTACCAGATGAGCTGTGCCCTAGGAAATAAAGGTCACAGCCTGGCGGCAAGCATGTCTCCCACGCGGGTGCAGGGGCCCAAGCACTTGGGCCATCTGCTGCTGCTTTCCCAGGCCACAGCAGGGGGCTGGACTGGAAGTGGAACAGCTGGGACTCGAACAGGCGCCCATGTGGGATGCTGGCACAGCAGGCGGAGGACTAACACACCTCCCCCATTCTCCCTCCATGATTCCTAAAGCCTCCGCCTGCATCTGACGCGCACCGCCCCCTTCACAGGCATTGGTCAGAGTGGGTCACCTGACCTGATGTGAGCCAGCAGGAAGCCCGGCTCCCTCTGTCTGGGTGGGGGAGAGGGAGGAGCCCCGTGAGCCCTGTCGAGGGCCAGGCCCCTCGCCCTGCCCACACTCAATGCAGTCAAACCCAAGCAGACCCTGCCCCGAGGAGACGGCGGTGAGCATCCTCCCCAGGACGGAACAGCAAGTGCGTCACAGCCTGGCGGGAGGTGGCCCTGGCCTGGGACAGCACCGGGTACCTTGGCCCTCGGCAGCCGCGGGCGTCTGTTCTGTAAAGCATGGGGTGTTCACGCCACACCTCCACCACCCTCCCACATGCTCTTAGTTTTAACAAAGTTTTGTTTGAAAGGCCGAGTGGCAGAGCTCTTCCATCCACTGGTTTGCTCCCCAAATGTCCACCACGGTCAGGGCTAGGCCAGACCAAAGCCAGGAGCTCCATCCGGGTCTCCCACGTGGGTGCAGGGGCCCAAGCACTTGGGTCATCTGCTGCTGCTTCCCCAAGCCATCAGCAGGAGGCTGGATGGGAAGTGGAGCAGCCGGGACTCGAACCAGAGCTCAGATGAGAGATGCTGGCGCTGTGTGCTGGCCTAACCCGCTGTGCTAGGACACGGGCCTGTGCCATAGACCGGGCACAGTAGCAATGCCGTGGGAATAGTTGTTCTGTGGTATTTGTGGGGCAAGAAAGCCAGTCTGCTCATGCGCAGTGTCCTGCAGCTGTTTTTCTGAAAGTTGGACGTGCGGATGCAGGGGGCTGGCCGCCCGTGAGGACGAACACTACGTCACCTTCCTCACCTGTCCCCTGGGACCCTGGAACCCGGCACGGTCACGCCAGGGCCAGCTGGCAATTGTGTAAGGACTGGGTCTTCGGGAGAGAGCATCCCGACCCGAGGTGCCGCCAGGGCTGCGGGGTGAAAACCGTCCCCACTGCGGCCTGCGCCCCCGAGGGCTGGATGAGCTGCCCTGGCCCTGCCCTGGCCCGCCCCCCGCCCGTGCCCTCCCAGCTTTCTCACCCCACAGCAAACTCCAGCAGACGGTAGCGCATCCTCCTTCAGCTTAAGGACACCCAACACCTCTGCTCAGTGCAAGTCCCCGGGGCGGGTGTTTGGCACAGAGGACGCCGCCCGGGACGCAGGCATCCCGCGTCCTGGGTCTCAGTCCCCGCTCTGCTTCCGCGTCCTGCGAACGTGCGTCCTGGGATGCGGCAGGTGCCGGCTCGACCATCGGAGCCAGCAGGACGCTGGATTGACTGGAGTAGCTGGGTTGGGATGCGCGCATCTCTGATGTGGGACGTGGGCCTCCCAAGCTGGGACTTAACCACTGGCCCGCCCGCTCTCTGCGGGCCAGGGCTTTCTCGTGCAGGGAAGAATCACTGGACGTGCTGCGGTTTTGGGGCACCCCTGCAACCCTTTCACGCAGGGCGCGGCCTTACTCGGCTCCGCCGCCAGGGGCGCCCGCGCCGCGCCGGGAACGGCTCAGCCCTGGCCGGCCTCGGACGCTGCCAGCCCGCGATGTCCTGCTCCCGCCTCGGCACGGGACGCCCGGATCTCGAGCAGCGTTCCCGGGGCCGAGCCCTGCGGGGGACTCGGGGGTCGAGAAGGCGCTGGCTCCGCTAAGATCTCGTGCATCCTTCTTCGTCCACAGCGGTCACTGAATGTCCACCCCGTGTCCCGCAGAGGCCCCCGCCTGATCTACACCCGGGCCGAAGGACAGAGAGAACTCGACGTCGCGGCGCTGTCCGCACAGCGCAGGCACCGGCCCGCAGCTCCGGACGTGGCCTCGGTGCGGGAGCGGTGGCCGTGGGCAAAGTCAGGCCTCGGCCGGGCCCCTGCACCCACGTGGGAGACCCGGGTGGGGCTCCTGGCTCCTGGTTTCGGCCTGGTCCAGCCCTGGCCGTTGTGGCCATCTGGGGATTGAACCTGCGGATGGAATCTCTGTCACTCTGCCTTTCAAATAAATGAATAAATTCAAAAAATTGATAAAGTAATAACTTCAATTTAAAACAACAAAAGTACAAAATCAGGATAAAAAAAGAGCTGTGCCTGGCCCTGTTCCGCCCCTGGGGGAGCAGATGCTGTGATGTGAGGGGTTTGTTTTGCTCTTTCCCTTATTTTTAAATAATAATAATATTATTATTTTGCTCTTTCCTTAAGGCCAGAGCTCATGAACTACAGCCCAGATGCCAAAGCTGCCTGGGAGCTGAGATGCTTTTACAGTTTTAAATGGCTGGAAAAAATATTTAATTTATATTATAATTATATAACATTATAATATATTAATAATTAATTAATTAATATATATTATATTATAATATATAGACAGTTCATGCCACACAACCTCTGTGTGGGGTTCATGCTGTCAGCACTTGGACGTGGTTTAGCTGTGGACAGTGGGCATGTCCACTGTACGAAGTTGCACCCAGGTTTTTATTTTTTTTTCCAAGATTATTTTCAAGATTATTTATGTGAAAAGCCGAGTTACAGAGAGGCAGAGGCAGAGAGAGAGAGGTCTTCCATCCTCTGGTTCACTCCCCAGATGGCCGCAATGGCCCTGACCCATGCATGCTTCCTGTCCCATGTCCTGGGCAAGCTGTGCTGATAGCAGCTGCTAGGTACTCAGGGCCGCACACCCTGAGTTCTGTTCCAACTTTCTCATGGCTCTTGTCTTCCTCCCTCCTGCCCTCCCTCCTTCCTTCCTTCCTTTCTCTGTCTTTCTCTCTTTCTGTCTCTGTCTGTCTCTCTCTTCTCCCCAGGCAACAGAAACTATCTATTTCGACATTTTCCCACTCTTCCAACTATGGGCCCTCCTGAGACTCCGGGCATCCCCACTGGAACAATGGTTAGAGTCTGGTCGGAAGCTGCTCCACTTCCGATCCAGCTCCTGTTAAGGTGTCTGGGGAAGCAGCAGGTGGTAGCCCAAGTGCTTGGGTCCCTGCACCCATGGGGGAGACCAGGATGCAGTTTCAAGCCCCTGGCCCAGGAAGGTTCATTCTCTCTCTCTCTCTCTCTCTCTCTCTCTCTCTCTCTCTCTTTTAAATAAATATGTCTGTAAAAGAAAAAAAAAGTCTGGCTGTTCCTTAAATCTTGTAAGCAGGTTATGTGCCATCCCCCACACACTGGCCAAGGTCAAGGGCTTTTGGGGGGCCTAGAGACCCCCAGAGAGGCTCTGGGGAAGCTGTGGCTGTGCCAGTGGGTGTCGGTGATTTTCGTCCCTTGCTGGAATCCAGAGCAGCCCGTGGAGGGGCGGCACCTGTAGCCGACACTTCTGTGTTATGGAAGAGACAAACCGTGCCAGAAGATGGAATGAGTGGGGGCTGAAAGTGCGTACAGAGGCGGCACTGCTGTCGTGGGTGCCGAAGGGGGCAGAAGCTGTGGCAGAGGAGGGAGAATGGTTGTTTACGGTGACCTGGATGGAATGGGGGAGCAACGTCTCTTCCCCATTGGGCATGGCCACCGAGCTTCGTCACACACCTTGTCAACATTTTCTTTTTAAAGATTCATTTATTTGAAAGGAAGAGCGAGTGAGAGACAGAGAGATCTTCCATCTGCAGGTTCACTCCCCAGACGGCCACTGTGGCCAGGACGAAGCCAGGGAGCCAGGAGCTCTGTCCACATTTCCCACACGGGTGGGCTAGCCTCTGCTGCCTCCCTCCCAGGGTGAGAGAACCACCCTCCGCCCTCTGCCCTTTGGGGTGTGTGGGTTTTATTACGCCTGTCTTGTGTCAAGTTGGAGTAACTCCACGAAGGAAGATTCAAGCAGGTGTGGTCCATCTCCCAATCATTTGGTGCATTTTGAGAATGAATTAGTGAGGCACCTGTGGACATTATATGGGAGTGCCTCCTGTTTTATTAAAACAAATGAGATAAGTGGTACCAGCTTAGAATAATTTAAGACTGGCAGGGGTTGGCGCTGTGGCATAGCCGGCAAAGCCTCTGCCTGTGACATTGGCATCCCATATGGTCTCCAGTTTGAGTCCTGGCTGCTCTTCTTCTGAGCCAGCTCTCTGCTATGGCCTGGGAAAGCAGCAGAAGATGGCCCAAGTCCTTGGGTCCCTGTCACCCAGGTGGGGGATCTGGAAGAAGCTCCTGGCTTCAGATTGGCACAGCTCTGGCAGTTGTGGCCATTTGGGGGAAGGAATCAGTAGATGGAAGACCTTTCTCTGTCTCTCTCTGCCTTTTGGATACATACATAAATCACCAGGGGGTCTGGTGATCTTCATGGGACCAGAGCCGTGGGCACAGGGACTTTGTGAAGTGATACAAGGAAAAGACAAGGGCTGCCTTCCTCAGGAGCTGAGCCGGGGTCGGTGATATCTACCGGCTCTCTAGAGCCAAGGGTGGTCCACGGAACACTCGTGCAGGGGCTGGGACAACCCAGCGTCCTCGGACCGGGCTTCTTCCACCTGGAATGTTGTCAAGGTTTATCCACGCTGCAGCATGGATCAATGCTTCATTCCTGGGGCACGCATTTGGCAGAGCAGGTGAGGTGCCGCTTGGGAGACTGGCGTAACCTACACCAGGGAGCCTGGGTTTGAGTGCCAGCTAAGTAACTTTATTTAAATTTAAGGCGAGGTTCAAGAGCAAGGGCGATTCAAGAGCATGACTGGGAGGAAAGAGACAGCTTCACAGGGATGAGAAAAATAATAACTGTTTGAAAGCAAAGGCACATTTCTCGTGATGTGGATGAGCCTTGTGATGTCTCAAGCAGGCGATGGGCCTACACGTTGGTATTTTCCAAGCACAGAAAGCACTCAGTGGACCAGACGCAGAGAAAAACTGACATCGTCAGGGGAACGGGGAGGAGCAGCTAACCGGCAAAGGCGGAGGGCTGGGTGGCGTGCTGCAGCATCTCCCGGGGGTAGCGCTCTCCTCTCCGCGTCTGGGGGACCTACGGGGCCTCGTGTCAGCATTAACTTCAGCAGTGGCTTGTTCCTTGTATTTCTTCTGTCCCCTCTCCTCCCAATTCGTGTCTGGAAATTATTGATCCATGTGTTTACAAGACATTCCCTACATCTAGCAATCCCTGGTGTAATTATTCCTGAGTTAAAGGTATTATTTCCAATTTTATCTAAAAAAAAAAAGCTTTTAATTTTCCCCCACAATGTACTGAGCATCTCAAAGACATAATGTTATTATAGGATATAAAAAGCCTGAACAATGTGCAAAATGGATTAGAAAGACCATTGACTTGGGGATTTGATAGATCTAGACTGGTGCTGACCAGTGGGGTAGCCACTAGGCATATGTGGCTATTCAAGTTTAAATTAGTGAAGGTGAAAGAAATACACTTAAAGATAAGTAAACTCAAATTCCTCAATTGTACTAGTCACATATCAAGGGTTCAATAGCCACATGTGGCTTATGGCTTCCATATTGGACAGTACAGAGAATATTTTAATCATTTTAGACAATTTTATGGGACAGCAGTATTCTAGATTTTTTTTTTATTTGACAGACAGTGAGAGAGAGAGACAGAGAGAAAGGTTCTCCCTCCATTGGTTCACTCCCCTAATGGCCGCCACTGCTGGCGTTGCGCTGATCCAAAGCCAGGAGCCGGGTGCCTCCTCCCGGTCTCCCATACAGGTGCAGGGCCCGAGCACTTGGGCCATCCTCCACTGCCCTCCCTGGCCACAGCAGAGAGCTGGACTGGAAGAGGAGCAAACGGGACTAGTACCCGGAGCCCCAACAGGGACTAGAACCCAGGGTGCCAGCACCATAGGCGGAGGATTAGCCAGTGAGCCATGGAGCTGGCCAGTAGTCTAGATTTTAATATTAGCTGTGATTTTAATATTAGGTGTTAACTATACATCAATCTGCTGACTTTTTAACTTCATCAATTAGAAAAAATGACCTCTGATTCATAGATTGTCTCTATCTGTCTTCTATCTCTATACCTTCTGGAATAAATTATGACACTAGATATTCAGAAAGAGAGAGAGAGAGAGAGAGAGAGAGAGAGAGAATATTACTGCTATTTCCTTTATGAACTCCTGTCCCAGCCATGGAAATATATAGAGATGATCTCATCTGTTTTTCTCACTTGATTTTATTCTATCTCCTCCAGTGAACTTTAATAAATTGGAACAATTGCAGCTCTCTCCAAAGTTCTTATCCAAAGCATCAATCCTTAGAGATTTATGATTCAACAAACCTGCCGTATTATCAACACAGACTAAAGAACGTTGCTTCGGTCATGGGAACTTGGGGGCCCACATAAACTCCAGAATTAAAGGAATTTTTCTTGATGGTACAAATTCAGTGGCTTGACTAAGGGGTGAACCTCCATGTGTGGCAGGAGGTACTGCAACAGCACCGCGTGACCGAGAGCCCGTAAGTGGCTGCTGGCAACCTTTACCTACCGGTAGCATTCTGGAACAATCTGCGTCGACGGCATGCCCATCACCTAACTTTAATCACGGGGACAGGTGTCTGCAAAAAGAGACCACATAATGACTCTCCCCGCATCTAAACACTTCGTGCAGTGCATCAGTTGAAGTAGCATTGTATCAGCTACATTTCTTAGCATTAGTTTCTATCTGGATAGCTATTTTCTTACCAGGTGAACAATGCAGTGTAAAGAGGGTGCTTACCGGTCTCGGTGACTTTAATAATATTTTTGAGTGGCATGCGCAGCGATCTTAACTTGGATTTGAAAATCTCAAAGTCCTCAGGAGTCAGATCAGAGCCTGGGCCTGGAATCAGAACAGAATTCCGCATGGTTGTTCACGAGAGTCGGCATGGGAAGGCTATCCGCAGAGAGCCACAGGTGCTGGAGGGACTCACACAGGCTCCCTTGTCAGTGGAGGCAGCTTTGTCCTTTTCTTTCTGGAAACCTGCCAGGGCCCCTTGCTAAGGGGTTTGGGGCTCAGCGACAGGTTCAGAGGAAGGGCAAAGATGCTCCGATGGGTGTCGTGGGGTCCGGACACCAAAATGGGCCTCACGTCCCCTCCCTGCCTCTTCTGGCCAATCCTTGGGTCATCGATCTCAGCTTGAAAGGCTGAGTTGCACATTTAAGGGGTCGGTGAGGGAATTTTGTAGTTAAGGAGTGAAGTTCCAGTCATGGCAATTCTTCTGCATTTTTCCAAAATCTGAATCTTACTCCTAGGAGCACTAAAGAATCTCTAATGCATCTTGTGGGTGCTTGGGAGACTTGAAAACCCTATCGCAGGCTGGCGCCGTGGCTCACTAGACTAATACTCCACCTAGCAGTGCCGGCACCCCGGGTTCTAGTCCCAGTCGGGGCACCGGATCCTGTCCCAGTTGCCCCCCTTCCAGGCCAGCTCTCTGCTATTGCCAGGGAGTGCAGTGGAGGATGGCCCAAGTCCTCGGGCCCTGCACCCCATGGGAGACCAGGAGAAGCACCCGGCTCCTGCCATCGGATCAGCGCGGTGCGCCGGCCGCAGCGCGCCAGCCACGGCGGCCATTGGAGGGTGAACCAACGGCAAAAGGAAGACCTTTCTGTCTGTCTTTCTCTCACTGTCCACTCTGCCTGTTAAAAAAAAAAAAAAACAAACCTATCGCAGATCCAGCAATCCCACCAGCAGGTGCATAGCCACAGGCTATGTCTCCATGTCCATGAGGCAGCCGCACTCCTACGTATATTTCTGCACTGTTCACAACAGCCAAGATCCAGAAGTGGTCCCATTGGTGGATGAATGAGTAAAGAGGATGTGGGAGGTGAATACAATGGAATATCCTCCAGCCATAAAAAGAGTGAGATTCTATTATTCATAGCAAGAGCCTGGAGGAACTTACATTAAGTGGGAGAACTTGGGCATGGAAAGACAAACCCTGCCCATTCCCACATATATGTGGGTGCTAAGCATGAGGATCTTATAGAGGAAGAGGTAGGATACTGGTTCCTGGTGGCTGGGAAGGGTGGGGGAGGGGAGAGAGAGGCGGGGGGAGGAGATGGCTAACCAGTACAGGGTGCAGCACCATAGAAGGAGCACGCTCCGGTGTGCCTTTACAAAGTAGGGTAGATATGGTTATGAAGAATTCATTATTTGCTTTAAAATAGCAAGCAGGGGCCGGTGCTGTGGCATAGCAGGTAAAGCCACCACCTGCAGTGCCAGCATCCCATATGGGCACCAGTTCGAGTCCTGGCTGCTCCGCTTCTGATCCAGCTCTCTGCTGTGGCCTGGGAAAGCAGTAGAAGATGGCCCAAGTCCTTGGGCCCCTGCACCCGCGTGGGAGATCTGGAAGAAGCTCCTGGCTCCTGGCTTCTGATCGGCGCAGCTCCGGCCATTGCAGCTAATTGGGGAGTGAACCAACGGATAGAAGACCTCTCTCTCTCTCTGCCTCTCCTCTCTCTGTGTAAATCTGACTTTCAAATAAATAAATCTTTAAAAAAATAGCAAGCAGAGGGGCTCTTGAGCACAAAGAAATGGTAACAGAAGTGATGGATACAGGCCGGTGCCGCGGCTCACTAGGCTAATCCTCCGCCTTGCGTCGCCGGCACACCAGGTTCTAGTCCCGGTTGGGGCACCAGATTCTGTCCCGGTTGCCCCTCTTCCAGGCCAGCTCTCTGCTGTGGCCAGGGAGTGCAGTGGAGGATGGCCCAAGTGCTTGGGCCCTGCACCCCATGGGAGACCAGGAGAAGCACCTGGCTCCTGCCATCGGATCAGCGCGGTACGCCGGCCGCAGCGCGCTGGCCACGGCGGCCATTGGAGGGTGAACCAACGGCAAAGGAAGACCTTTCTCTCTGTCTCTCTCTCTCACTGTCCACTCTGCCTGTCAAAAAAAAAAAAAAGTGATGGATACATCCACCACCCAGGTCTCATCGGCACATGTGTATTAGAAATGTTGCACTGTACCCCATCAATATGTAAAATTACTCTGTGTCTATCAAACAAATTACATTGGAAACCAATGGAAAATCATCCACAGTCTTGGATATGATCGCCCCTGCTTTTATTCCTACCTGCCCTCTCCAATTATGATTCCCACTGGCTGAAACCCTACGAATAGCTCTCAGATGTTTTGGAGATCCAGCGTCTCCCACGCTGGCAGCATGCGGGGGCTTCGTCTTCCAACCTGAGCAGCTGCTTCCTGCAGCTGTGGCTTCCAAACTGGACAGCGCACTGGGAGCGCCTGAAAGTCTTTGCAAAACATCCTTCAGTGGGGTTGCACTGCTGACCGGTTAGGTGACAATATCTGGGAGCGAGGCACGGGTCTCAGGAAGCTTAGACTCCTGGCTCCCGGCTTTGGCCTGGCCCAGCCCCAGCCATCGTGGAGTGAACCAGTGCTCTCATTCTCTCTCTCTCTCTCTCTCTCTCTCTCTCTCTCTCTCTCTCTGCCTCTCAAATACATTGAAAACAAATAAATAAAACTTTAAAAATATTAACAAATGTTTCATTCCCAACAGGCTTGGGAGGATAGTTTGTCTCCCCAAAGACTAGACTCTCAAGAAAACTGGTCGGCTGTTCCACAGGCTCCCTGCAGATGGTTTCCAAATGGCTCACCCAAGATCTTGGGACGGGATGAGCATGGCCCCCGGCTCCCTGCCCCCTCCGGCTTGGGCAGCAGCAGCTCTGGGGACAACAAGCCCGGCTCACGCACTTACCCGTGCCCACGAGCACGGACGTCACGTCACCATCTTCACTGACGTTGATGAGGAAAACGAGGCCCATCGCTCCCTTGTTTCTGGTCACGTGGAGGTAGTTTCTCCCCCAGTCTGTGAGGGAGAGAAAGAGCCAGAGGCAATGACATCGCGGTGGCCCCACGGCCACACCCGGAACATCCACCTGCCCCCGCATCCAGGGGCCCTGGGGAATCCACTTCCAAGAGAGAAGGGAGTGAGTTTACTCCCAATGTCTTTATGCGGATGGGTCCTTTGAGGGCCGGTGTGGGCTGGATAGTCCAGGACCAATGTTCTTGCTGCTGTGGCTTCTTTAAACATCTTAACTCTTTGAGTTTTTTTTTTTAAATTGAAAATTAGACCAGAAATCGCCTTGTATTTCTCCTGTGTTATCAGAGGAGATGCGTCACCACGCTTTAGAGCGATCTCATAGTTGAGAATTTCCCTTCAGTGATGAACAAGCATCGAGTGAGTTCTGGTTCTTTCCTTCTGCACGTTTCACTCGTCAGCAGTGACAAAGCCAGACAGACACGTGGGAGCGGAAGCGAATACTGCAGGCAACAGGACATAGAAGATGCCTGCTCTCAGAGAGTCCCTGTTTTGTTGGGGAAGAAAACAGAGCAAAATAAGTAAGAAGAGGATCTGCGCAGTGGTCCATCTGTCGGTTCTGTCTTTTACTGAAAAGCAGAGTGAGCCAGTGGAGAGCTCCGTCGCGGTTGTGAGATTTGGCTGCGGTGTGGCAGGGCTTGTTGGACCTTGATGGATGACACAGCGGCTCAGAAAATAATGGGAGAGGCCAGCGCGGTGGTGCAGGGGGTTAAGATGCCGCCTGTGACACCGGCGTCTTCATATGAGCTCTGGTTTGAGTCCCGGCTGCTCCGCTTCTGATCCAGCTCCCTGTTAATGCCCCTGGGAGGGCAGTGATCAGTGGCCCAAGGACCCGGGCCCCTGCCATCCCCTGCCCTCCATCCAGGCTGGCGTTCCTGGCTCCTGGCTTCAGCCAGGGCTGTGCCATTTGCAGCCATCTGGGGAGTGGACCAGCAGATGGAAGATCTCTCTATTGCTCTGCCTTTTAAATAAGTAAAACTTTTATGCTTAGTGAAATAAGCCAGACCACAAAAGACAAATAGCATATATTCTCCCTGATTTGTGGTAGCCAATATATACAGTACCAAAAAAAAAAAAAAAAAAAAACAACAAAACTTGAATGTCTGCGAGTGAAATAGACATCTTATCATTGGATTATTTATAGCCCTTGGCTGTATTACTGGGGAACAGTGGCCTTTCTACTTACTGGTTGAACACTATATTTAGTGGAATATTGAGCCTGTGACTATCAAGTAAACTGAAATTATGTTATTGCAAAAATTAAAAGAAAAAAGAAAGAAGAAAGAGAAGGGAGAGGAGGGAGGACAGCAGCTTTATATTCTTATGATTGTATCTGAAATGCATGACATCGGTTCTCTTTACATGAATAAAATATTTTAAAAAACAATAAAGTGGCCGGTGCCACAGCTCACTAGGTTAATCCTCTGCCTGCGGTGCTGGTACTCCGGGTTCTAGTCCTGGTCGGGGCACCGGATTCTGTCCCGGTTGCTCCTCTTCCAGTCCAGCTCTCTGCTGTGGCCCGGGAGGGCAGTGGAGGATGGCCCAGGTCCTTGGGCCCTGCACCCCATGAGAGACCAGGAGGAAGCACCTGGCTCTTGGCTTCGGATCAGTGCAGTGCGCTGGCCATAGCAGCCATTTGTGGGGGTGAACCAATGGAAGGAAGACCTTTCTCTGTCTCTCTCTCACTAACTCTATCTGTAAAACAAACAAACAAAAAAAAAAACAAAAACCAGCCTGGACCTCTGTCTCTCTGCTTCTCAAGTCAACAGAGAAACACAATTAAACCCCCATGAGTCTCATTTCAGCTCTGTCACTCCGGTCTGGCGAGCAGGGCTGGCTCCAGCCGTTGTGGCCATTTGGGGAGTGAACCAGAGGATGGAAAACCTTTCTTTCTGTCTCTCCTTCTCTCTGTCTGTAATTCTGCCTCTCAAATAAATAAATACAATCTTTTTTAAAAAAATGGATATCTTGGCCACAGAGAAGAAAGACTTAGGAACCACATGAGCTGGGTGGAAGTCTTGTTCTGTCACCTTGTAGTCTTCCGGGAAAATTTCTTAACCTATTTGTGCTTGTTTCCTACTTCCCTAACAGTGATAATAATAAAACTCACCTCTTTGGGTTACTGAGAGAAGCAGATACAGTCAGACATGCAAAACCCCATGACAGTCCCTGGTGCACTGTACTCTTCTCCAAACACCTGCTATTTTTAACAGTCGCCATCAGCATGGTAATATTAATCACCATAGTATTATTAATTATAATAACATACAGTCACACGTTGTATAACAATGAAGATACACCTTGAAAAATGTGCTGTTGTCCTGGTAAGACTTCATAAATCACATTTATGCAAACTAAGATGGTTGTGATGTCACTTGTGTCTTACTTATGATGTCACTTATGATTGTCTCTATGGTCTGTTGACAAACTCTGCTATGCAAGGCGTGAATGCATTTAAAAATAAAAGTGCTGTCGCCCACAGGACGTACTTACATGTCATGCTGAACCAGATATCTTCAGTTTTAACTGCCTTGCAGGTGAATTTTTGGCAAGTACAATTAGTCCTTGAAAAGGAAACCATTTTGAATTAATGAAGAATCCATCACCGACTTCATTAATAAAAAAAAAAAAACTTCATGAACATTAGCATGTGGAAATCTTCCAGAACAAGTCATCTACTTATTTTGTTATATATACTTCCTAAGAAACTTTGATCTATGAAAAAATGTGCTTATGGAGAAGATGCCATTCACCACACAGAAGTGACTGGCTTAGGTTATGCCATGAGCCATTGCAGCAGGCTAGCATTTTTTTTTAACATCATCAAAATATTTATTAAAACCAAAGCAGGAGAGAACAGAGCTGTTAGGAACCAAGTCAAAGTGCAGATGGAGGGTGGGCATAGCAGTCAGCTGACCACAGGAGGGGCCCATGCAGTGTGGGCCCAAGAGGTCCCTCAGTCACCCCTCCTGCCCACCCTCAGTGAAGATCCTTCACTCCCCTCTCCCTGCTCACGGCCAACCTGGGGGACGGCTGGGGACCTGCAGTGACTCTCTGGGGAGTAACCACCCTCTCCATCACTCACGGCTGGCTGGCTGTCAGTCAGTCTCCCTCCCTCCCTCCTTCCCATTGCTATCCTTGCTTGCAAAAGTGTATCAAAGTGCACCAATACTGAAAGCTTAAGTTTTGTATCTGTGGACACTCACATGACTGCCAATCAGATCAAATTGCAAACATTGCCAGAAATTCAGGAGACTCTCCTGTGAATCCTCCTGGTTAAAAACTCACCCAAAAGCCAGCACTGTGGCGCAGTGGGTTAACGCCCTGGCCTGAAGTGCTGGCATCCCATATGGGTGCTGGTTTGACTGCTCCACTTCCGATCCAGCTCTCTGCTATGGCCTGGGAAAGCGGTGTGTGATGGCCCAAGTGCTTGGGCCCCTGCACCCACATGGGAGACCCAGAAGAAACTCTTGCCTCCTGGCTTTAGATTGGTGCAGCTCCAGCCATTGCAGCCAATTGGGGAGTGAACCAGCAGATGGAAGCCCCCTCTCTCTCTCTCTGCCTCTCCTCTCTGTGTAACTCTTTCAAATAAATAAATATTAAAAAAAATACCACCCAAAGTAGCCACTATTCTAACCTCTGTCTCCAAAGCTTGATTTTCCCACTTTTGTCATTTACAGAAATGGAAGAATGAAGGCTCCTAGCCTTTGTGTCTGGCTTTCTCCATTCAGTATTATGTCTGTGTGTCCAAGGTGGTGGAATAGGGAGGGAGCTCACTGATAGTCTGGGAAAAGAGAGTTTAATAAAAGTGGAGATAGTGTAGTCTCAGGGAAGAGTTAGGGAAAAAACTGCAGAGAAAATTCTTCCGGAATTAGAGGGACATGGTGGATCTACGTGGAGGACATGGGCGCCCATGGCTTGGGAGCCCAGTTGCCGAGAGACTTCTCCTCCACACCAGCACTGAAAAGAGAGGTGAGGTGAAACCGCAGTAGCCTGAGAAATTGGCAGAAAAGCAGCTGGAAGAGCCTAGAGGGTTGAAGCCCCTTGGGGGAAAGCCTAACTAGAGGAGAGAAAAAAGTAAAAGGGACAGTACGGACACAATTCTCTCCACACACCTTACAAAGGCGTGCGATACAATAGAGCAGGTGCCATTTTGGACATACATAACAACTGCAACAGCTCAGTGCTGCACCTGCCCTCAACCAAGCAGAAAAACCTGACTCTGGTGGGGAGTAATAACAGGAGACTAAGACCTAGTGAATGTGTGGAGCTTATGAACCAGGACTGTGAAAAAAAAATTGAGGTGTGTGGGAGAACTCACTGTGTGGCTGAGACATGAGTAGTCTCGATGGGAGACGCCACAACCTCGGGCAGCCTTGGCTACCTGGTGAGACATTGCAGGGGAATCTGAGCTTACACTAAGGACTGCACAGATCCTTTGTGTGGTCCTTGGGACAGAACAGATGAATATTATACCCACTGATTGCCATTGAGGAGAAGAGCTCAGCTGAGTGGAATTACTTCCCTTCTGAATAAAAAAGGAAAAAAAGAGAAGATTTACCACACCAAACCTGGGTGTGTCACCTTTGGCACACCCTTAACCCTGAAGAACTGAACAGAGCTCTCTGGCCACACCCACCACAGCCTCTAGAGATTCACCAAAAGCAGACAGTCCACTTAATTCAGAGTCATAGTATAACAAGAAAAGCCACCACAGCAGAAAAAAAAAAAAAAGAGGAAGAAACCAAAGAATATCTCCACAATGCCAAACAACAAACACAAAAACAAGGAAACAAGAACAAGGAAGACATGGTGCTTCCAAATGAACATGACTCTCCAATACAAGATTATGAAGATGATGAGATAGAAGAAACACAAGATATGGAGTTCAAAAAATTTATGATGAGAACATTTATAAGTTATCAAAAACAAATGCATGAACTACAGAAATCCATGGAGGACAGGACAGAAAAATCTCTGTCATGAAAATGAAATCTTTTTTTTTTTGACAGGTAGAGTGGACAGTGTGAGAGAGAGAGACAGAGAGAAAGGTCTTCCTTTTGCCATTGGTTCACCCTCCAA